TTTTTTTTTTTGGTGTGTGTGTGTGTGAAATGCCACGTATGAGAGAGAATTGCCTGGCCTCTGCCAGTTACTAGAAGTATTCTCTGTATGCTTTGGGAGTTTCTCCYCTGTCTTCATCCTTCCACATCCTCATCCAGGCTCACCCTCACATCCACTGCAAGTATCAGAGACTCACATCTGAAAAGCCAAAGGTCATGCTACAGTAGCAGTTTCAGGGTCACATTTTCTCATCTTACGTGTGGGAAACAGTTCATTCAAGGGGAAAAGAAAAAAAAAAAGAATAACAAGGTGGTTCTTTCAAATGGGATGAGTCAAAGTGGCTTTCAGCAAAAATGTACTTGACTTTTACTTCTGTRTAACAATAACCTGTCCTGAATGTTTACCCAGCATTCAGATAAGTTTCTTTTTCAGCAATGGAAAAAGTTCTCATAGCCATGGTTTTCTATGCTGGTTCACAAAAATATCGGTTCTGCTGTTTCACAGGGGTTTGGGTCAGAAAGATGCTTCAGTGTAAGCTAAGATGAGTTAGAAGCATAACTACTTAAGTGGATTCTGCTGGGCAAAGTAATACATTTTAACTTCCCATTTCTTCAGAAAGTGCTGGTCAGAATACCCTTAATACTGTTTATAAAAGTTCTCTCATTTTAAATATCATTGCAGTGTGCATCATCCTGTGTTCCTCAACAGTTTACATTTTGAAATGCACTATTAATGCATGTTCTGAGACACCAACATATATGAATGTACGTGTCTGTGTTTGTGTGTGTGTGTGTGTGTGTGTGTGTGTGTGCAGCTGGTCCTTCTTTGATCGTAGTGATTTTTATCCCACAAAGCACTTGGAGCAATGACTGAGGCTGATGAGCAGCCCAGTGTTGCAGGCACTAATAATCTGCTGTTGGGGCAGCGGCTGTTCCAATGACAGCAAAAACGATGTGAACAGTTACCATTACTGCAGTGCCCGGTCCAGCTGCAGATAAAGCACAATCAGAGTGCAGCGCTCAGGAAACCCCGAATTTTCCCACGTGATGGGCGTTTCTTGCCCCGTTTCCACACGTTGCAGCCTTTTCCGAGCAAAACCCACAGCTGCCCCTCAACTCTGCCTTCCTAGGAGGAACCACCATCAAAGGGAACTTGGACTAAAGTCCACACATAGCTCCTGGCAATGGGCTGCTACCCGGGCTGTGGGAAGGTGTGTTCAATTCAAGTAAACAAGTACGCRACCTGTGACTAAACTTTGGTGACCTTTTAGTTTGTAAAAGGTCCCTATTCCCGCACTTGAGCTCATATAACATGATGAAATACTAATTGAATTTGGTGTGGGGAACTACTTAAAGGTCACAGGATTTTAAAATGTGTTTGGGAAACGGGTAGATTAAAAATTTACAGCCAGAGATAGACTTTCAGACTACTATCTTCATTTTGGTATGGTGATCTTTTCTTCATTTTTTTCTCAGTTCTTTAATTCCCTTAATTTGTTTGACTAATTAATTATTCAAAGTAACACAGATAGCATTTTACTATAAATGCTGTAGGTTTGGTGCTGGTCTAATGAGGTGTAGGTGATCAGCTGAACTGAGAGCCTGTGCCCATCTATCTGACCAAGGTCAGCTTCTTGATTCGATGTTTCAGTTTGTTCAGTATAACTGGTGGCCTTTAAATAAAAGAATACCTTCATTTGAAACAGAACTTACATTTTTTTAACCTGACAAGTCTTCTGTTTTCACCTTTTCTCAAAGTAAAGAGGATTTCCTGACAATTTTTTTTGTTTGCAGACAGGTACACTTCATATCCATTACTCCTTTTGTGGGAGCTGTTACACAGGGCTATGCTAAGTCTTACAGGATAGTGTTTGTTTCCTCTTGCTTATCATCATGAGTTTGCAAAAAGACAATGCCTCCTGACTTTTGTTTAGTTGCAGTAGTGCACAAGCAGTGAAGTACCAGTGGGTGTCAGCATCGGGGAGCTTTTGGGGAGGGAAGGTTGAGGGGCAAGGCTAGGCCGTAGCCCCATGTTCACTAGCAGAAGCTTACTTGTCTGAGTTTTCCATTCATCCCAGGAGCACAAAACTCATCTCCCACCAGGCAGGCATGCACGTGGCATTAAAGATTTGCAAGCACACGGTGAGATTATTTCCACTGAGGAGCTCTGGCATCCCCAGCCCTGGGGCCAAGCTTGCAGGGATGCACACATTGGGCATGATATCCCGAGGAGAGCACTGACAAAATACCAATATTTGTGCAGGCAGTGTTACAGCACACCTGCTSCAGCCCAGGGCTATGATTCCGGGCAGTCTGAGAGTCCAACCCAGAGTGGCACTTTGACCCCATGGGCTGGGTTTACCTGCCCAATCCCTGTCTGGAAGCTGGCAGTCCTGCTGTTTCCCCAGCCTCCCAGCATCTCCCCAGCTGCCAGCGTGGGGTGMATGTGCTGCCCAACAGGCAGCAGCGATTTCACAGCCCCTCATTCCTCCAGTGATACCCTCCTAAGTGATGTCCTGCACGAGCACCCCTGCAAACTCCATCTCTTGCTTTTGACCCAAAGGCAGTCCATCTGCCCCATGGGTAGGTCTTTTATATGCTTGCAGCAAAATGTTTTGTGTTCTTCAGCTCTGAGCAGCTAGTGAGCTGAAAAATAAATAAATAAATAAATAAATAAATAAATAAATAAATAAATAAATAAATAGATAAATGAAAACTTTAAGCATGGCAAGCAAGCAAGCTTCTGTGACAAATTTATGGCATAAAGCAATACTGGCAGACACCATCTGGGAATTAGTGTCTCTTAAAAAAGGACCTTTTTCATAATGGCTTGATTCATAATTAGTTCCAAACTTCAGTGTGACCACAGCTGCCAAGAAAGAACAATTGCTCATGTTCAATTCAGAGCAACTCATATGTTTTCCAGCTAAATTAAACCAAAGCCAAACCGGGGAATTTGGAAACCACTGAAAATAAGGGGAACTCTGGAGTGCTTAACAATTACTTCCTCATAAGACATGCCCAAGAGGAAGAGAGGTGCTTTTCAGTCATGGAGCTGCTCTCCTAAAMATGAGGAGGATCATGCTTTCCTTCCTCTGCTTACTGATGCACCTGCTTCAGGATGAGACAACTTGTAAGTAAGGGCTTTTTGCTCTTTTCCTGTGTGGGAAGGGAGAGGGGGTGGGAGGACAGGGCTTGTTATTGAATTTTTGGATGAGTGAAGAAATCTCTGGATCTTTTGTTGGATTTCAAAACCCAGTCAGTTTCAAATTAGTTTTTTAAATCTTTTAAGGTTCTGAAATGCAGACAAAATGAACATGTTGTCCAGTAAATTTATTCATTACTGTATTACCAGTTGCAGGTCAGCCAGTACAAGTCTTACCTGATTCTGTGCTGTACCAGGGTAAAAGGTGCTGTCATCTGGGTCGCAAAACCCACAAAAAAWTTAGGATTTGGATGCTTCAGAGAGATTGATAAATGAATCTGTTTTAAGTAATATTGCAGTTTGAAAACAGATGATCTTGAAAACTGTCAAACAGCTTTTTCAGTGATGCAGACAGGAAAAGCGGTGAAATTCAGGTTATTGTTYATTAGGCAGAAACTTGTAAACCTGACTGTAGCAACAGTTAAAGAGCTATAATCCCTTGAGGTTACAGCTGAGATGTGGAGTAAAGATGGAAAGAGCATTTGACTTTTAACTATTGATGGGGCTGCTCACTGCAGATTCTGTGAGTAGAACCGAAGGGTTTGTTCCCTGGAATGTGCATGAGGCATCTTTCACAGCAGCAAACTCACTGAGGAAAAAGATAACAACAAAGAAACAAAGAAAAAATAAAAATAAGAAAAAAACAAACCCAAAGCAAACAACAAAAAAGCCCCACCTCCAAACACGCAGACCACATAAAAGTGTTCCTTTCATAGTACTAAATGTACTTCTCTAACTCTTGATCTCATGGCTTGGAAAGTTTTGAACATGAGACCCAGGAGATTTAATTTCCCTGCATTTCTGTCATGAAACCAAATGGTCTGTAGCAATTCCAGGTCCGATTCGAATACGGAGAAGCGTGTCTGTGACAAACATGTCATGTTATCATTCCTTACCATTCGCAGCGCTTTTAGTTTTGGGAAATCACAACCTGCAAGACTCGATTAAGCCGCAGAAGGTAGAGTTTCATTCCTTAAACTTCAACACCACTTTGCATTGGCAGCCTGGGTGGGCCAGAGAGGCGAGAGACGCGCTCTACTTTGTGCAGTATAAAGTGTAAGTACCTGGGCCTTCCACTGTGCTGGGGCTTATCCTTGCTGGGCACATCTAAGGGATTTCTCAGGATATTCTCATTCCTGGGGAACAGTCATGTCCTGTTCGGTTGCAAGCTCTCAGTTGTTTCTGCACTTATCAAGCAGCATGAGGTAGGCAAGGAATAAACAACTCCAGCAATGTGCTCTGCACCCTCATTGCACCAGGGAGTTGAGAAAAATGCAGTTTTCAGGTGACCTCTGAAGGTCACTGGGTCCAGCCACCTGCCTGAAGCAGGTCTAGGTAGGTCAAGTTCTTCTGTAATAGGACATTTAAGGTATTTCAGTGGCCCACCTTGCCCATAACACTGCCTGAGGCAAGCTTAAGGCAACATTAGGGGCTGGTCCTCAGGGTCTGCTCCCTTCCTGGCCCACTGCTGAGTGCCTGAAATCATTATTGCCCTTGAGAAATAGTCTGGTGAAATCCAGCATCATGCCCATGGTTGATCACACTGCTAAGCCAAAGCTTGCCCGCCTCTCCCCTGGGGCAAGTCAGAGGGAGTTTCCTACAGGGCTGGTGACCATTGTCTCTGCTTTAGATTTCTTTCAGGAAAGATAAAAACTTGTAGCTCCCAAATGCCCATGAAATCARCCTTCCCTCTCATCAGACTGAAGGCAGTCGATTTCCACAGCAGAACACTTTCCAGTGCYACTGGAGTAGAACAAGCTAAGAACCTGCATGGACACAGTCGGTGATTCCTAAAGTTTACATCCWTCCTCCTCTTCCTCCATAGGTATGGGCAGAGCACGTGGCAAAACAAAGATGAGTGCTGGGGGATTCCAAGCCATGTCTGTGACCTAACCCATGAGACCTCTGCCATCCAGGAGCCGTACTACGGCAGAGTGAGAGCYGTGCTGGCCGGTGTCTATTCCAACTGGAGCCTCAGCTACAGATTCACTCCCTGGCGAGAAAGTAAGTGCAAACATCTGTGTCCCCCAGSAAGGAATTTGTTCTTCTGTGGCATGGAACGTGTAATTTCTTCTCACAGTTTGCAAATGTGAGTAATCCTTTTCTAGCCACAAAGCTGTACCTGTAGAAGCGAGTCAATAGCTCTCACGTGAAGTGTTACGCCAAAGTAATTCTCCCCACACTTCAAAGCCAAGCGATTATGTCTAAATAGCCATTTAACAGTAATTAGGAGATAAAAAGATCCCTTTAATTCAACTTCTTGCTCTGGGCATGGAACTATACAAATTATTTTCAGGCATTTTTGGAGCTGCTGGAAGGATAGGACTCAAGATCATAAAAAAGAAAGCATTCTTTGCTTAGTGGGAAAAGAAAGAGTAGAGCGGCCTGCTGTGTGGCCACTATTGTCCTCATATTTATGTGTTTTCCTGACTGCAGGAAAGGACATAGAAGGGCCATGTGCAAAGCTTTTGGTTAGTACAGTGCCCCAGTATGCTAGAAATATAGGACTGCCCAAACACTGAGCAGTGGCATTGTACCCACCAGCAAGTTTGCCATGAATTAACCTGTTTTCCGTCACTGGTCAACGCAAAATTGACCTGAACCCTTAGCTGTGTATAACCAAGCAGATTGCAAGATATTTGAAAGGGATGATGGAAACGGCATCCTTGGCACAGCTGAAATGGTTCAGATGGATGTTGTGTGCAGTCCAAGCACACAGACTAATAYGAGGGAAGAAGATAATCAGGGCAATTTTGGAATTTTGCATGATCGGTCAGCACTTAGGAACATGCAGCTCTAAGGAATTTCAAAAAGTTTGGCTCAAAGGCAGTTTTATAAACACAGGAAATGTCACCTCCAAAATAACAATAACCAAGCAATAACCACCATTACGTAAGAGTTTACAAAGTGCTCCCTTAAGAGGAAATGCATCATAATATATTGTTGGTAACTTGAACATTTGCTGAACAGGTTCAAATTGCATTCTATGAAATATTATTTACTAATTATTATTGTGTTTATAACTTGATCTTTATTCCATAGCTATAATAGGACCTCCAATGGTAACTGTGGTTCATAGCAACAAATCCATAGCAGTAAAGCTCCAGGCTCCACGTTCTCCTTATAAAAGGAAGAGAGGCAGCAAAATACCAATGACAAATTATTATGATCTGGTGTATCACGTCTTCATAATTAACAATTTGCTAGATGAGGTAAGAGTACCTTCAGATATGAACGTTTTACCATTGAAAAGCCAGGAAAGTATGGGCATACCATACTTGTTTTATTGTTAAAACAAATCAATTGGGATCGGGAGAGCAGAGATGACTGTGCAAATATTTGAAAACAAAGTAGCTTGTTTTTCAGGAATTGAATTTGATTGAATTGAGTTGTAATTCCTCCCCATATTATTTGTCATCAATTGAATACTTCGTAATCTATGAACTAGATTTAAAAATTGGGACAGGAGAAGAATTTGGGGGGGGAGGGGTTCTTTAAAAATCATAAATTAATTATTAGTGCTGCTGACTTTGTGTAAGTCCATGTGCTGTTCTGCATCCTCTGTTCTCATCAAACTTTACTSACAGACACATTTGCTAAGGAAATGTGCTTGACTGGATCTTTTTTCTCCACTCTGTGTGAAGCAACACAGAGTCCTRGTGTATGAAGGAAAAGACAAGGTTATTAAAATACAAGATTTGAGGCCTGGAGTCAGCTACTGCATCGTGGCTAAAACGTACGTGCCCGTGCTGGACCGCAGCAGTGCCCACAGCAGCAGGCAGTGCACCGTGCTGCAGTGACAGGGGTGGCACCTCTGAGACAGGTAAGTCACTGCTGAAACTGGAGATGACTCKGGAAGTCAATATCTAGTCCCTTGCCAAAGGCAGATACTCTCCTAAAGGAGAGAAAGAAGTGTGGCATAGAAACTGCCATCCCACATGACAGTATTAGCTGGAATTCTTATATAATCTCAGATAGTTGCACATCAGGTAACAATGATTAGGCCAAAATCGTTAGAAGAATGGGATAGATAATTATTTGCATGCTGGCACTATCCTCAAAAATATCTGCTTCTTACCCTTCTTTAAACAGTTATATATAGTATAGTTTAATAGTTATACATGGTATTGATTTCATGATTTTTTTTGTCAAGTCATAATTAATTAGAAAAATGAGTGACCTCCAACTTTATCAACATGCAATTCTCCTGAAAGCTGTACCAACTTATTCTGCTCAGGAATTGTTCTGATGGATTAATTAAAATGAGCCTGTCCCCTTTTCATGGCAACTCTTCAATCGAATGTGTTTAAAAATAAATCGATTATCAAATGTCATGAGTTCCCATGGGCCAAAATGCAAGAATTATCTCCACTAGCTGGTCTGAAAAATCTGGTTTTTTACTYACCTCAGTCGCTAGACTGTTGTCACATATCACATGCCAGCCAAAAGATTTACCATCAATCCTGCCTTGCAGGTGCAAAGGCACCGAGTGTATGAAGATCTAACCCAAAGCTAGTTTCATTGGAATTGGCCTTAACAAGCTCAGATTTGGGGTAACAGACGAAAACTGGAAAGGCATCAGAGTTTGATGGCTTTATTCTCAGTTCTGTACCCTAGAACCGTGAAGTTTTCCTTTCTTCTGCTTCATAATATGGTGCATTAGGTTGGTCTCTCTTGAGTCTTGGTCAGTGTGTTTAGGTTAAGGATGGTTAAGCCAGTTTCCAGGGGACTTTGCTGCRTTTTTGTTTGCTTTCCCAGTATGGTTAAGAGCTGGAAACTCAGGTTTCCAACATGCAGCGGGACAGGACAGATGCAGGCAAATGTAGTTTCAATTTAATAGCACCCACCTTAAATGCACACTCCAGCAGCAATTCTCTTTCTCTTCCCATTTACAGGGATAATGGCAGAAGATGCCTTCCATCACAGGTCCAGCTGTAAATCAACATCTGTTGTCTATGTTTGGAATACATACTTGGATACTTTGTAAGCTAACCTTTGCTGCAATAAATGATTTGATTCATCACAATTATTTTATGCTACAGGAAGGTTAAGGATTCTTTGTATGTCAAAGAATCCTTATTACAATTGTATTACAATTTATGATGGTATATATTTGCATTTTCAAAGGAAAGAGTCTTGTAATATAAAAATAAAACCCTGAAAAAACACCTTTGTGGAAATATCTTTAAGATTCCTTTTAGGGGTTTTGTATTTTAAATCTTGGAATTAAAATACAATCTATAAAATAGAAGTTTCAGGTATTTTATGTTTTCTACAATAATTACAACAGAAAATGAAATAAGTGTCCTTTCTCTAAAATAAGAAATGCACAATGCAGGAGTATTTCCATGCTCACAGTGTCTTCTTAGTACCCTCAACACAATAATTCTGACAGTGGTGCCCAGTGACAGGATGAGGAGCAATGGCCATAGACTAAAACACAAGAAGTTTCACCTCAACATGAGGGAAAGCTTCATTACACTGAGGGAGGAAGAGCACTGGAAGAGGCTGCCCAKGGAGGTCGTGGAGTCTCCCTMYCTGCAGACATTAAAATCCCACCTGGACGCGTTCCTGTGTCACCTGCTCTCGGTGACCCTGCCTGGGCAGGGGTGTAGGACTGGATCATTGCCGGGGTCCCTTCCAACTCTAATGACTCTGTGATTCTGTGACCTCTGTTTCAGCCATTTCACAGTAAATGGTGACTGAATGCTGACAGTCACCTGTGAATTCTAATGATTTTAATCCTACTAGTCTTCATTTTACAAGGGAAAAAATTGCTTGGGCAAGGTCTGCATAGTGACTCACTAAGCCACACCAAAAGGGAGAGGTGAAATCACTTTTCCAGATCTGCAAGGTCTGTAAGTAACGAAAATCTTAGTACTTAACTATCTTCTGTTAATGCAGATTAAATGAGAGGAGGTGAGGGTGGCCCAGACACAAAAGGACAGAGCTCCTTGGAAAAATGGAGCTCCCAGCTACTTTAGTAGCTATCCAGTGGAGGATAGCTACTATCACTATCCACTTTTCCTTAATTCACARAAATTAAGGAGGATCAATTCCATTTAAGTAACAGACCTTGAGTTCTCTTAAGCCGTATCCAAAGCATCTTTTGCAATCAGTCACTAACACCTCCCCTGGAGGCAGCGCAGCTGACAGCTGCACCAGGATGCTGGCAGGAGGTGGTTGGGAAAAGGCTGTATTTAAGGAAGTGATGCTGGTCACTCTTGCCTTTACCAGAATGAAAGAGGTCATTACATAATAAATATCTCCACCACCTGATTCTAATATGTGATATATTTGAACAACTAGGTTTGCAGACATCTAGCCATATCCACAGATCTAGTGCAGGCTTCTTTCACTACATTTCCCTTTTTGCTCCTTTCCCAATTCTTCCAGTTGCTTTGCCCACCCATATCCCATCGTTTCTTTACTTAGGTAAGTTTTTTCTTGAGAAGCAAGTCTTCTTAAATCTCTGGGCAATACCTAGTGCCAAGAGAAGTGTGAGATCCAGCACAGCCCTGTTGCCCCTCTTGCGCTGGTAAGAAAAGCTGACCAGCAAACTGTTAAAAAATAGTCTGTCTTGTATTTCAGCAGTGGTGTGTTCATCCTCTTGTGGGTTATCACAGCCTGAAAACAGCATCTGTAGTAATTAAAGTTCTTTCTCAGATTCACTTCTTTCCTTAGGGCAGCTCATGTTGCCACTGTTAMACAAAGATAGAACTTCATCAGAGAACAGGTTCTGACAATTTCAKAAACTGTACCTGGGTCAGACGCAAAGGATAAAACTGTTTTATAGAAAACATAAAAAAAAAAAACAAACCCAGAATGATAGGAGTATTTGAAGCATTCAGACCTAGCTAAAGATACAGCAGCTGCTGTGCTGTGGATCTATGGAGACATTTGAAATCTGAAAGATTTTCAATTTGATAAAAATATGAAAAATGTGCAGCTTGTGTGCTAGGAAAAACACTAAAWGATCTGAAGAAGTCTTGCACAGTTCTGTGCTAAGTTGTGTGCCAACCWGATTTCACTTCCTCAGCAACAGCACAGGCTTCCAGAAAGCAGCGCAAGAGTTGCAGGAACCCACTTCCATTCTGACAGTACCGTGATTTATTATTGCCAACCCCATGAYGTTCTGCAAAAGCAAATTTTCCCTTTCCATTTGAAATGCAAATTTTCTTTCAGTGCTGTTCTGACATGTAATTTTACTGGGGAAGGGTTTGGTAGAATGACTGGTGCTGTGCTTTTCCTCCCCAAAGGCTGAGTGATCTGCACTCACAGCTTCCAGACAGCCTTGGTAATGCTGTAACTTTCAAAAACAACTTATTGTGCCTTAGAGTGCATGCTGCACTGCTGTTTACAACTCCACGGGGGTGGAATGGAGAAAGAGTTCTCTTAACTACACCTGGGACTTTCCTRCAGGCAAACCAATTTGGAAATACCTGGACAAGTGCATTCTAGCCCTCCTTTCTCTTTCTCCTCATGGGCACAAGCAAACCATCTGCTGTGGGTGCTCATCTCCAGAGCTGCCCGGGCTGGCACAGCTCCACAGTGCTTTGTGTGTGTGCACAGCTCAGTTCAGAATGCTTCCACATTGTTGGCTTGGCTCCTTCTGGCACAAAGTTTGCMAGACCCAGCTGAAAACACCATTCTCTTGTTTTTTAAGTCCCTTACACAACAGGCATTTTCTAACCAAGTGCCAAGTGCCAGCTTCTGTTTCAGGAAAGAGAGAAATGCTGACTTCTAGGGCTATGGCACTGGTGGGGTAAAGATGAAGCAATGTAACAAAAGCAGGACTTTTGTGACCTCTTCTGCAAACTCTCACCTGCTTCATCACCAAGAGATGTCAGCAGCCACAGGCACAGCCTGTCACAATGGCCTCATCTGGCCAAGYCTCTCTGCCCCACCTGAGGGTTCTGCCAATCAGAAATAGATATTATTTCTTACAGAGTTTGCAGTTGTGGATTTTGTTGTGGAGTGGAGCCCATCCCACAAGGGCCTACCCTTCTTTCTTTCATGACTTGGTTTGAACATMTCTTATCTGCCAGATAGAATGAGCTTATCTCCCTCTGTAAAAGGATCTMATTTCCCATTCCACTGGCACTCAGAGGAGCAATATTCATCCACCAGAAATTCAAGAACAGGCCTCCAGAAAAGCTGATAGAGCAACAGCAATGAACCAGATGCTCCAGCCTTATAAATTAGGAGAGGATTATGCATAGCCAGCTGAACCATATAAATGCCCAGTTTTATAGGATGCCATGGTCCTTGGTGTTTATCATATGGTGCAGCATCTGGCCAGTCCCATTCATACCTCCCATATATCTGCTTTAATCAGGTGTGGACCTCGGGTTTATATATTTAACATGGCTTGATCTCAGCTAAGAGCCACTCTGTGGCTCAGGGTGGGGTTCTGTTGTGAAATGACTGSCTCTTGCCACAGATCTGCAAGACATTATTAAGTATTCCAAGCTGCAGGCAATYGATTATAAATAGTTGTGTTTTTCTATGGATTTCAGTGTTTGCTACAAAGATCAAAGACACTAATCTGTAAAACTGTCTTAAAAAATAATAAAAAAAAAAAAGCAGAAACCTCAAACTCTTGAGTATTAGTTTGCCACAAAGGACACAAGACACAAAACAAGGGAAGGGAAAGAAATGACACTGGTGTTCACAGTCTCCAATTTGTTTTCAGAATCTCATGTAAGAGGTTTCCAAGGGAAGAAAAAAAAAAACCATTTAAATGCAGCTCCCCAAATGATGAAGTCACTGTTTTTTTTATTGTCCTTTATAAAAGAGTCATTACCACCAGAGTTTTGGCTTCAGACAGGGAAAAATGGGAAACTTAAGCCCCAATGCTTACATGGAAAGTTCAAAAAGGGAATACCTGAAAAAGCTCCATCATCTGAGGTAAATACAGAAGACAGTTTTACATTTTTTACCATTTTTCCCTTTTCTGAGGTAGTGGGCCCCTGATGCTGAGTTGCCTAAATACCCTTAATAATGACAGAATGCAGCCCAGGAGTATCACACTGAGGATTAGACCCTCCAGAAATGTCCTTATTTTTAAACACAGGAGCAGGATGACAATGAAGAGCCATTGTGCTTATTGCTATACCCACAAAAGAGCAACGGGGAAATTTTTCTCAAATTAATTTCTTTCAGGCAATGTCTTTCTAATACATTTTTTTTCTTTTTTGGGTGTGAGAAATCACAAATCATACCAATATCCAAGAAACAGCTATAAGCTCTCAGTTTTCATTTTTTAACTACAGAGGAGTAGTATTTCAACATTCCTTGTTATGTGACACTGGATTTGTTTAATAGCTGACAGCACAGGATTGTTATAGGGCTAAGGTATTTTTTCTTTGGCTAACTTATCAATACAAATTCCTATATTTGGAAGAATAAAGCCCCTAAAAGATATCAGCAAAAAGACTTACAAGCGTTGTCTTTRTTAAACCAAGCATTTTCAGGGGGTCTGTGAAGTCACTAATCATGCCCTGAGTGGATTGAGAATCAGAGACACAAACCTGTGGAAGAAACTGCTGGAAAAGACAGAAARGGAAAGAAAACAAAGAGCACACAGGGAGGGGATGGGAAGCAGAGAACAYGCAGCATTAGAGCAGAAATGTGTCTTTCAACAAGGATACAAAATGGAAGCAAAGTGATTCGACCAACAACACAGACATTAGGCAGTTTCTGCCTTGCAAGAGGAGCTTCATATTTCTATGGAGCTACACATTTCATATGTGTCCACAGTCAAGGGAGAAGATACACCTCTAAGGACAAAACACAGATGTGTTCTGATCAGAGAGACGACTGCAGCTACTTCAGCAGCAACCTTAGAGGGAGAAGAGCCATTATAGAGAAGATTTCTAAAGACAGAGAGAGAAATTCATATGCTGCTGGCAGATACCCTCACATCCTGGGGGTGGCAGCTGAAGGCATGAACTCAACAATCTGTGCTTAGGTGATTGAAGCTCTACCCCACTTACTRAAATATTTCTACAATGTGCTAATGRGATATTTACCCGGGATAAGCTGCACCCTGAAGTCCTGTGGATGTGATTGTAGAGTTGTGTTAAGAAATCCAGAGAGAAAACCTGGTTAAGCGGGTGAAACACAGATGAGATGGTGTTGATGTGTGCATTGAAGCTGCAGGGTGCCTTGGGCACAGCAGCCTTTCTCTTTGCCTTTGAATGACCACTTTTATATTTGAATGATCACTTTTAAATTTGAATGACCTTGTGGAAGATGGAGCAGGACAAGTAAAACTCTGGAAAGTGCATAGGAAGAGTCTGCAGAAATTGGCTGAGATCCTAGTTTGGTACTTTTTTATCGCATTCATTCTGAATACTTTCTTCAAGCTGATTCTCTCACTCACTGAAATATTGCTCTACTCTCATAAATACSAAGCAAATTTGTGCTAAAAGTACAGAAGATTACTAAATAAATAGTAAAATCCTCTCAGCTGCACAAGATGTATMATTATTCCATCCCAGAGCACACAAGAACACTATTTCTTGCCCATTTGCTTCTTACTGGTGTTTGCCACAAAAAGACAGTTTTCCAGAAATAATGGGACACACAGTGACATAAAGTGTAATGTATTTTGAGTGCTTCAGTTTTGAAACACAAGAGCTGAGCAGAACATCCCCAGGACTAGAAAGTCCAACTGGGAAACACAGTGGGATCAGTCATTCTGTATGTCCCAGTCATACACCTCTTTGCTCTACAAACTGTGCAATGACCACAAAGAAGAACAAGAGCCCCAAACAAGCAAGAGCTACTGCAGCTTTGTGAKCCTTTTAGTGTGTGCAAACACAGTATCTGTGATGCTACCTCTGATTGGAGAGAGCTGGCCAAAATGGCTTGGGTTGGGAAAAGGAGCATTCCCTAGTTTTTATACCTGCTGTGTATGAAAGACAGCTGAAAGCACCAACTCAGATTTCCACCAGTCACCTAGGGGAACATTATGTTGTTGATATTTTTACCATGACTTGCCATAATTATGACAAAAAACATTCCGCTTCTTCCAGATGAAGTAGGAAGAGTAACATTTCAGAGTGAGGCCATCAACACGACCAAACAGAAGAGCCATGCACTGGTGAAACCAACACTTGGTGAAACCAGCACCTGAGGATCTGTGGCAAGAAAYGTRGYCTCTCATGGTCCAAGGATAGCCAGWCATRTTAYGGGATAAGGTGGGGAAATAAGMCAAACAGGGAAGGTCAAAGTGAATAGCATAGAATGTTCAGCTGATTTTCCATAAACCTCTGGACTGCATGTGGATAGTATCAAGGAAAACACTGCCAAATAAATATTTCTAATGAAAAACTGGAATTTTCCTGAGAGGAAAAAATACCACTTATTAAAATATCTTTCATAACATTTTAATTTTTGAGTGAAAAAAAMCAAATAAGATTCTTTTCTCTGTGGAAAAAAAACCCTGCGTCCTTAATTTTCCAGGCTGAGAGTTTTCCAATGACATGTCTAAATTTCCTGGAGTAGGACAGGAATGGAAATTGTCCTTGACAGCTCTGATCAATCT